AAAGATCAAGGCTATGCTCACACTCAGAGAGCAGCCGTCCTCCTGTGGACTCTCCACCTGCAGAGGGTCAGTGAGAGGCTGGTGCTATGAGACTTGGGTGGCATCTCTGACTGCCAACCCCCCTGACCCAGAAATGGATTAAAGGGTAGAAAATGGATGGATGGATGGATGGATAGTCAAATATTTTTTTCACACTATGAGCTATAATATATATATATATATATATATATATATATATATATATATATATATATATATATATATAAGGGTATGGCGAACCAACCTGACATCGTGGTGGTGGCCCATTTAATGAGCAGTATATATATATACAAATGTATACGTACAACAGTACATGTATATACAGTATATATGTATATATATATATATATATATATATATATATATATATATATATATATATGTATATATCTCCTGTACACCCACAGGAGGAGAGCCTTTTGACTACAAACAGACCAGATTTACATGGTTTTCAATGGAAGCCAAACGGAGTTGTTCCATCTCTGCTCATAAACTACAGACAGTAATGCGCTGCAGTGCGTGTGTTTATACTTTATGTCAAATGTAAACGGTGTAAATTTTGTCTCACCCTGTGTTTTCATCACGACTCGGGCACATGTGAAAAGCACCAGCTCACAGCGCCGCAGTGAGTGTTGAGGACAGTTACAAGTATCTCGGTATACCACAGGCAAATGGCAACCTCGAACAGGTGACGAGGAAAGCGGCAACTGCCAAATACCTCCAGCGAGTAAGGCAGGTCCTAAGAAGCCGGCTCAATGGCAAGAACAAGGCCCGGGCAATTAACAGCTACGCCCTGCCAGTGATCAGATACCCTGCAGGAATAATCAGGTGGCCAAAGGAAGAGATTCAGACCACGGATGTTAAAACTCGAAAGCTCCTTACCATGCATGGCGGGTTCCATCCCAAAACCAGCACCCTGAGACTGTACGTAAGCCGTAAAGAAGGAGGCCGAGGACTAGTGAGTGTGAGAGCCACTGTCAAAGACGAAACATCCAAACTCCATAACTACATCATGGAGAAGGCCAAAACGGATGACGTACTCAGTGAATGTCTCAGGCAGTGGCGAGATGAGGAGGTGCTGGAGGAGAGCCCATCCTGGGAGAACAAGCCCCTACACGGCATGTACCACCGGAGCATAACAGAAGTGGCTGATCTCAAGAAGTCCTACCAATGGCTAGAAAGGGCTGGCCTACTGGACAGCACAGAGGCACTCATCATGGCTGCACAGGAACAGGCACTGAGCACCAGAGCGATAGAGGCCCAGATATACCACACCAGACAAGACCCAAGGTGTCGGTTGTGCAAAGGGGCACCTGAGACGATCCAACACATAACTGCAGGGTGCAAGATGCTGGCAGGGAAGGTCTACATGGAACGCCATAACCAAGTGGCTGGCATAGTGTACAGAAACATCTGTGCAGAGTATGGGCTGGAAACTCCAAGGTCTAAGTGGGAAACTCCTCCAAAGGTGGTGGAGAATGAGCGTGCAAAGATCCTGCGGGACTTCCAGATACAGACGACCGAATGGTAATGGCGAACCAACCTGACATCGTGGTGGTAGACAAAGGGCAGAGGACAGCCGTGGTGGTAGACAAAGGGCAGAGGACAGCCGTGGTGGTGGACGTGGCAATTCCAAGCGATGGTAACATCCGGAAAAAAGAACATGAAAAGCTTGAGAAAATACCAAGGTCTCAGAGAGGAGCTGGAGAGGGCCTGGAGGGTAAAGGTGACAGTAGTGCCCGTGGTGATCGGTGCACTCGGGGCAGTGACCCCGAACCTAGAAGAGGTTACAGCAGATCCCCGGAACAACCTCGGCCATCTCGGTCCAGAAATGTGCAGTGCTAGGAACAGCAAAGATACTGCACAGAACCCTCAAGCTCTGGTAGAGGACCCGAGCTTAGAGAGGGATAACCGCCCGTGGAGGGCCAAAGGTGAGTGGACAATTTTTTTTTTTTATATACACATACATACATACACACATACATACACTATATATACATATATATATATATACATACACATATACATATATTATACATACACACATAAACACGCATACATATACACATATCCATGTATCCATACACACATATATATACACACACACACATATATATATACATACATACATACGCACACACATACATATACATATACATACATACACATATACATACATATTAGACACATATACACAAACTCACATATGCATAAACAATAATACAGAAATGTTATAACAAAAATACACCATAAACCATATATACACACACACACACACACAAACACATCCACACGGCTACATAAATAGCAGCAACAAAAATAATCTAAATTTTAAAAATGTCTACATTACAATTTAAACATTAAATTATCCAATTAATGTAAATACAACTCAAAAATACGAAACAAATCAGTGCCATTCTTCGGTGAAAAGTGCTTGGCATTGCAATATTGGTCACGGTCTTTTTAGCTGACATGGCTCTTTTGTCCTGTGGCGAAATGGGTTTTCTTCTTCTTCTAATAGTTATATTGCGGCAAAATGCGCCAAAATGACTGTGAGGCGGAGTCAATATTTTATCATCAAGTAAAGTTTTTGCCATGCCTCCACACACTCCGACAACAACATACGCTCCTCCTCCTCCACAAGCTCTGACCACAACCTATACGCTCCTCCTTCTCCTCCTCCACACACTCTGACAACAACATACGCTCCTCCTTCTCCTCTCCCGTGGCTATGCTAGCAACAGTTGGCTGGCAATTCCAAACTAGAACTTCTATGAAACTGCATGAAAAAATGACAAAGAATTCTGAACATCAGCGGGGTGAGTGACCCAAACATAACAATCTAAATTCATAATTCGATCCTCTGAAAATTGTGGTCAGAAAATGTGCCGGTATCTTAAATGTGCGGTATCTACTTCCGGGTATTTCGGGGGATCGCCTTTTTCGCATTGCCATCAGTGTTTTTGTCATGAAACGTAAACTGAAAATTCTGAAAACTTCCGTTGCACTTGTATTTAAGACTGGATATGTATAAATTACTCTCCGATTAACATTTCATTGCGGTTGTGATTGATTGGCATTTGGTTGATTGAGCGCGGAACTACTTCCGGGTTTTTCACGATCGCTTTTTGCCAGAGAAATATATTTTTCTCATGAGACAAGACCAGTAAATCTGAAAATCTCCATTGCACGTGTGGTGAAGAATGAATATGTATAAGTATCTCGATTAACATTTAAGTGTGTTGTTTGAGCGTGGCGTAGCTCCGGAGTGGCAGGAACTCTTGCGGAGTTATCACACATTTGAAGACAAGCAGAGGTGCGTTGCCATGGCTAGCGGGTCATTATTGTTTTGATGTGAGGTCAGTTATAAAAATTAATGACCGGTGGAACGTTTTGAAATTACATTCAATTCAATGGGAGGCGTTCTATGCTGCTGTGAGGAGCCATAAATAAGAACAATTAGTAAATCATGGGTGAATCATTTATATGATTATAAGCACTTAAATAAACATGTCTTAATGATTATAAAGATTATTTGTTCATTAGTATGTAATGATTTCAAAAACAGTTGTCTTGTTAATGAGTTGTTAATGTTAGATGATTTTTTTTAATATAAATAAGACATACGTTAAGTTTTATAAACTAGTAGTCAATGATTTATAAGCAAACTAGTATTATAAAGTTTTTTACCGAAATTGATTTGGCTCTTTGTGCAAAAACAAGTCAAAAAGTTGAGAAACACGTTTTCGATTTTCCACACTCAAACAGCTCCTGTGGTCCTGACAAGTGAGCATAAACATGTGTGGATGGTTCACTGTCCACTACATGTGTGTCCGACCACGGCTCATGAAAGGTTGGTCTAGTGACATTGATGGATGGGGTCAAATGAAGTGTTACATGTTTGCCTACAGGGGAAATAAAGTTGTACCAGTCGATCACAGCAGGTTGGATCCTATTCCACACACAAGCTGTAGGGGGGAGGGGGTTTTCCTTCGCATGGTTTTCATTATATGTGCATCAACAGTGAATATTTCCTATACGTTTCAATCACTGATCCATGCAGCTTTTGTTATTCCTTCCCTGCTGGTTCACATTTCTCACATGGCCGAAAACAGGAGCGTGCATATTCTAGTCCGGCGACCGCTCTTTTATTTGCGTCGGTTCAAACTTCTTCAAACTCTTTGCCATTCGCTACTGTTGGAACGGCTTGTCAAACAGTGCATGTTGCCCACGCACTTTCAATAATAGAAGCACAATTCTTTCAAACATACTGTTCCTCGCTGCGTTGACAGCACATCCTTAACAGTCACAGCATTGCAAACATTGTGGACTGAAGGCAATACGCGCTGCACGGACACCAATCAAACACAAAGTTCTCTATGACATTGTAACCTCATAACAGAAGTTGACTTCTGTATACCAGTGTACGTTTTACTTACTGTACATAGCACATATTGAAACTAATCATTCTGACTATTAATTTGTGATTTACAGACCTTCACATGGGTTCTTTATGTATCACATTATCAATTCATGAATGCAGTAAGCACCACATTTCTGAATTGTTACACAATTAAATCTGAGGATAGATCTTAGTCACTGGTAACTGGAAAAGTGGATCTAGGTTGGACGGGTTTAAGGCACCCTACCCTAAACCCATTTAATAAACAGATGCCACTCACTTCCACGTGGAGAGTCCTGCCATCAAGCGCTTAAATGCTTTGTGTATAATGAAAGGGCATTATTTAGCTTGATGGTAACATCCCAGACCCTCTGGCCGTATTCATGCCCTCACAACCCTCAACACTGTGCCATCCGACACTTGCATCTATAGAAGTGTGCGAGGAAGTAAACGCTTGACCCTGTGGTGTGGGCTCAATGGACCAGCAGGTTTTCCGCTGTGGATGGTTGCATAATGGTATTTTAAATGTAAGCGACGAGAAAAAAGTGCCTCATCAAAATTAATCCTTCCATTTTTCCCGCTTCCTCTTCTCGCAGCTATACACCACACCCGCCTGTCCTGGCGTGGAGAGTGGATGAGGATCGAGTTTGGTGGTCTGCAGGGCGTTGTCAGAGATGATAACGTTCGCGAAGGGGCTCTCATCTATCTGACCGGCAGTTTACTCAATAGTAATGATGCTTATAATTGCGAGCACGCTGGATACAATAACAGTTCATTCAGGATTGCATCTTAACGACATGTGCTAGAGATGGTTGCACGTTTGGGAAGCAGAAAGTGGGTTTTCCCTTCATTTAAAGCTAGGGCCAGCTCGAAGGTGGCTCAATTTCAAAACAGTGACTTTCAATTCCTTCAAATATGTCACATGTCAGATGACATTTTTTAGGTTTTATATCATTGTTACTTGCACGCTTAATTAATGAAAGTTTGCTCTTCTTTTTGAATAGACTTGAATGATTCTTCCATTAAAAACACGTTGGAGGTATAGAGGTGTTTCAGACGGGACCATCTGCAAAGGTTACTTACCACATCTTTCTTTTCTCAATCTTTCATCCTCTCTTGTGCAATCGATCGGCTGGAACATCTATCTTCTTACATGCTGCATTTAACCTTGTGCCGCTGCTTACTGGTGCTAAAGCTTTCAGCTCAACAGTAAAACTGCCTAATTCCTATCACTACCTCTACACTGAGACATACTCTGCACAAATTGCTACATTATGCCTGGGTCTTGCATCACTTCAATTGCAATATCGATTGGATTGTGATTAATTTGCAAATATTAGTTGAAAATGTATCCTTGCGTAACAATCCATGTCTCTTTTTAAATTCTTAAATCTGACTAAGTACTTTATCCTCCAAGCATATTCTCTCATGCTATGATTATGTAGTAAATAGGAAAGTTGATTTCGTTTTAGTTTTACCGAACAGATGCAGGTTTATTGTTTGGACACAAGACGACCAGAAAATCTTGGATGCAACAATATTCATGTTGGGCTTTCTAAGCCTTCCCATTAACTCTGCTAAATATTTGTGTATGTGGATCACTTGACTGTCACTGAACCTGTTGTCTAACTTTTTTTTTTTGGTTAACTTATTTGGAAATATTATGGGGATCACTTAAGCCCCATTGACCAACTTGTGCCTGTATTTGTGAAGCTTGCAGATGGTAAGTAGTGCTACTTTTGCATCATTCATAACAGCGGCCATCACACATTGCATTTTCTTGTTGCTGTGTTTACAATTGGGACGAATAAAGCGCTAGTTAGAGCATGTTCTATGAACTTGAGAGTGTGACAGTTTGTAACATTGTGGTGGTGGTGGTCACGTTTTACAGGGAGAGATCATTTTGGCAATGCCATTTAATTTTTCTGATCAAAATTTAAATAGTTTAAACTTGAGTAAAGTTATCTTTAGCAACTTATATCCAATGTGTATAGATGTTCTGTATGAAGTGTAAACACTTTTTTTTCTGTAGTTTAGTGATCAGATAATCTGTGCTCTAATTGCTGTATTGTTCTCAAATAACCTTATATGACCCATGTTGTTGGGTAGAAAAAAACATTTACAAAGACCTCTGATATTTCTCTCTAAACTGTTCGTTTTTGGAGAGTCTTTTTTTGAGGAGCAGTTTACTCCTCTCAAACATTAAAACCCTGCTTTGCCTCACATCATATTTTCTCTGACGTCAATCGTGGGATTCAAAACCACGCGATCAGATAGGAAAAGTCCATAAAATATTCATTCACCTTTCAGACTGGGAAATGGTTAAATCCTTATTATTCTGACAGCACATCGCTACAGCGCAGGGAGTATTACTTACATTCTTTGGGGATGCGTGAGGATGTCCTGTCTGTCTCCTGGCTCTTTGCTGACTTGGAGGGCATGTCACAGTGCTTTTCCCATAATTGTCATAGTGCGCCCATATCCGGGCTTGCACTGGTAGCGATAGGATTTTTGCCCATGGCGCTTCACTCCACTTCTCACATGAGGGGAGAAAAAAACTAAAAAGGCAAGGCCTTCACAAACAGCAGCCGGTACATTAGCTGAATTTCTAAGATTTTCCTATATTTTAGGATTTATGCCTTAATTCAGAAGAAATATGACGCATCATTTTTGGCTGTGCACTATGCAGTCTTTAGCACATTCAGAAAAAACGGGGGTCACTTGGCCTTGGCTTTTTTAAATGTTTGATTTGTAGTGTGTTGAAAGTCAAGCAGGGGCTCTGCAGGTCCATAAACCAGCTCGGTCTCAAAGTCCCCAAGGCCTGAATCCAACACTGGGGTGACTGGGCCTTCGTTGTCACTGGCCTCAGTGGCTGGTAACAATCTGCCCCCTGTTCCTCCAAATCTGTTAGGGATGAAGCAGACAGCGACGGATCGTGGTGCGCCAAACTCTGGAAGTCATGAACCCTTAAGTATCCGATGGAGAGTATACATAGTTCCCACAGACCAATGAATGTCACATGACCTCCTCGGAGACGCCATCTTTGATGGCACGCTGCTGTGTTTGTGCATTCCATTAAACAGAAGAATGAGAATAAATGTAGATATTCAAACGCAAATTGGAAAAAAAAGGGCAACTTTTGAGCAAATAATTGTATATTAATACAATGGCACCACAGTTTAACGTGCTACGGACATGTTTTACATATTTGATCAAATTATGCAGCAAAAATTAACAAGCAATGCAAACATTTCTCAAAAACTTTAGATTTAATACCAGTTGGAGCTCCATTTAATTATTTTAATTATATTAACAATTAATTTAATTAATGCTAATGCCACACGGACACTCTGGATTGCTGTTATTGTTTATTTCCGCGTTTTTGACCGTATGTTTTGGTGAATGGTGGGCAACTGATTTTTCCAGGCGTAAAGAGCAGTTTATTTTATGACACAGATCTTTTTACAGAAGCAATGCTGTTTGTGAACATTGTTTTAGCCCACCATAGAACTATTATTATCTATTTAATACATTTACGTTGCCCTCGAGAGCCTCGGACGCGACACCGATCCTCCTCATAATAAAGTAATCTAACGCTAAATAATGAAACTCTCAAGTTACCAGGTATCAGCATACACAAGTTAGTACTGAGTAAATTACGTCTGTCAACACATTATGAGATACGATACGCACCTGACACAAAGTGCTCCGAGCATATTCTTGCGTGTTTTGAGGGAGTTTCTTGCCTGTTTATCTTCGCAAGCCATAACCTCCGTGGTTGTTCTGACAAAAGCTTAGTCTTCTCACATTCATGAAGTCTAATGATGGGTATACTGTAAAATCCAAGTTTAACGGAACCTCCGGCACGATTTGAACATCCATTGACCCAGCAGGAGATGACCATTTTCAACTTTATCACGACATTAACACGTTTCAGCTTCTTTTTCTATTGTTTTGCCCACAGAATGCCAACACAAATGTCGCCGGGTCGGCAAATCCCCGTATGTAGTGACGTCATGTGGGAACTATGTATAGAGCTGGTCCAGTGTTCCGCGACCGGGACGAAAACCACACTGCTCCTCCTGAATCCGAGATTCGATCATCGGCCGTAGCCTCCTCTCCAGTACCTTGGAGTAAACCTTACCAGGGAGGCTGAGGAGTGTGATCCCACGATAGTTGGAACACACCCTCCGGTCCCCCTTCTTGTAGAGAGGGACCACCACCCCGGTCTGCCACTCCATTGGCATCGCCCCCGATCGCCACGCGATGTTGCAGAGACGTTTCAGCCAAGACAGTCCTACAACATCCAGAGACTTTAGATAGTCAGGACGGATCTCATCCACTCCCGGCGCCTTGCCACCATGGAGGCTGCCAACCACCTTGGTGACCTCTGCCAGGGAGATGAAAGTATCCGCCCCAACATCCTCAGCCTTGGCCTCCGGGGCGGAGGACGTTACGGGGGGATTGAGGAGAACCTCGAAGTATTCCTTCCACCGCCCGACAATATCCCCAGTTGAGGTCAGCAACCCACCACCCGCACCATACACAGTGTTGGCAAAGAACTGATTCCCCCTCCTGAGGCGCCGGACGGTTTGCCAGAATCTCTTCGAGGCCGACCGATAGTCATGCTGCATGGACTCTCCGAACTCCTCCCAGTCCAGGGTTTTTGCCTCTGCAACAGCCCGGGCCGCGGCGCGCTTGGCCTGCCGATACTGGACAGCTGCTTCAGGAGTCCCATGAACCATCATTGCTCGATAGGACTCCTTCTTCAGCCTGACGGCATCCCTTACTGCCGGTGTCCACCACCGGGTTCGGGGATTGCTGCCGGGACCAGCACCAGAGACCCTGCAACTACAGCTACGAGCCGCCGCACCGGCGATAGAGGAAGAGAACATGGTCTACTCGGACTCAATGTCCCCCTCCTCCGCCGGGACCTGGGAGAAGCTCTCCCGGAGGTGTGAGTTAAAAGTCCGTCTGACAGGGGGCTCAGCAAGATGGGTCTGCCTGGTCTGACCGGCTTCCTCCCCTGCCAGGGGATCCAACTCACGACCAGGTGATGATCGGTTGACAGCTCCGCCCCACTCTTCACCCGAGTGTCCGAGACACGCGGTCGAAGGTCAGATGATACGACAACAAAGTCGATCATCAACCTCCGGTCTAGGGTGTCCTGGTGCCACGTGCACTGGTGGACACCCTTGTGCTCGAACATGGTGTTCGTGATGGACAAACCGTGACTGGCACAGAAGTCCAACAACTGAACACCGCTCGGATTCAGACCGGGCGGGCCGTTCTTCCCAATCACCCCTCTCCAAGTGTCACTGGCATTTCCCACATGGGCGTTGAAGTCCCCCAGGAGAATAACGGAGTCCCCGGTTGGTGCACCGTCCAGTATCCCTCCCAAGGACTCCAAGAAGGTCGGGTACTCTGCACTGCTGTTAGGCCCGTAGGCCGTCACAACAGTGAGAGACTTGTCCCCCACCCGAAGGTGGAGGGACGCGACCCTCTCATTCACCAGGGGAGAACTCCAACACGTGGCGGCTGAGATGGGGGGCAATGAGAATGGCCTCCCCAGCTCGCCGCCTCTCCCCGCGAGAAACACCAGAAAAGTGGAGCGTCCAACCCCTCTCAAGGAGTTTGGTTCCAGAGCCCAAGCTGTGTGTGGAGGTGAGGCCGACTATCTCTAGTCGGTATCGCTCTACCTCCCTCACGAGCTCGGGCTCTTTCCCCCCCAGTGAGGTGATGTTCCACGTCCCAAGAGCCAGATGTTGGGTGTGTGGACTGAGTCGCCGAGGTCTCCGCCTTCGACTGCTGCCCAGTCCTCTCTGCACCGCGCCACCACGGACCCCTCTGCAGGTGGTGGGCCCACAGGAGGGACTGCCCACGTCATCCCTTCGGGCTGAGCCCGGCCGGGCCCCGTGAGCAAAGGCCCGGCCACCAGGCGCTCGCATTCGAGCCCCGACCCCAGGCCTGGCTCCAGGGAGGGGCCCCGGCTGCGCCATGCCGGGCGACGTCACGGTTCTTCTGTTCGTGCTGTCCATGTTGGCTTCTGACTGCTCTTCGTCTGACTCGTCACCCGAGACCTGTCTGCCATGGGAGACCCTACCAGGGGCATGAAGCCCCAGACAGCATAGCTCCCAGGATCACCGAGTACTCAAACTCCCCCACCACGTTAAGGTGGCAGTCCAGGGGGAGCGGGGAGACTATAAAACTAATTGTTGCATTTCATTGCTTTAGTCACATACAAAACTGTTGAACTAGTTAAAAATCAATATCTGTCAAGCTAATTTCATACATTCCTTTGTCTTTTTATATCCTGAAAATCTCTCCTAAATTGAACAATGTCTCTCAGGTGAATTTTAGCTTTCACTCATGAAGAGGTGTGTGATATTGTTTACACTTGTCATAGTTCTACCATAATACTATTTTTTTAATGTTTGTTCAACGTAAAGAGACATAAGTGACTGTATTACTGCATATGCAGTACATATGAGAATACACACCACTTTACTTTGCCATCTTAGGGAGAGGGGGGGTCAACACACAGGTTTTTCTTTGGTTAGTGAGATTTATTGATTTTAAATGCTACAAAATAAGAAAAATGCTAATTTACAGTAAATGCATTATCAGGCTCCACAGTCCTTGCACTGCCATGGCATCTCTCTTCTGCATTGTCCACACGTGTATTTGTAGCAGTCGACACATCGCACAGAGGCATCATTCTTCTTGCACTGCTGTTTCACCTGCCACAGGGGTCTTTTTCCAGGGCTTGGTGTGGAGGGTTGTTTCCAAAGCATTTCTTCCTTTTGTCCCTTCTTTGCACCAACATGACAGTGAGCCAATTCTCTAGCAAGCTCCACCAGAAAGTCCACCCGTCTCTCCTGCTTCCCAGTACATGCTTGATAAAGAACATGTGCGTTCAATGCTGCCATATTAATCATGTTATAGAACACGGCGACTGGCCAGCGCCGTGTTCCTGAGCGGACACTGTACTCCCTCACCATCTGGTCCATAACATCCACGCCGCACTTTGTGGTATAGGGTGACAGTGTTTGGCTTCCTTTTGGGTGTATCTTCAGTCTGAACGAGGTTGTGCATGCTGCTGAGGATGTAGACAGCTTTCTTCCATTTGGGAGTGTACACTGTGAGCGTCGCACCCGTGGTCGAAAGCAACTGAGTGGTGACTTCATTGCGGTCCATACGTCTTGTAGATGAAGGAATTTCCTCAGAGAATCTTGTTGACTGTGCCGAGGATGGTGGTTTTCCGTTCAAGCAGTCGTTTTGCAAGTGATAGCGATGTAAAGAAATTGTCCGTGGTCACATTTCTGCCCTTGTCCAGGAATGGTTCAGTTTCAGACAGTCTCTCACCGCTAGGACGACTGGAGTCCTTGCCAAGATATGGGGGGACATTGCAAATGTACTTGGATTTCAAGTCGCAGGCTACCCAAAACTTGATCCCAAACTTGTCAGGTTTAGTAGCAATGTACTGCAGGAAACAGCAGCGGGTCTTTGATAGGAAAAGCTGTTCATCAATGGTGATGTGTCGACCGGGATTGTACAAAGAGAGGCAGTTGGTGACAAACGATCCCCACACATCAGACATTGCAGCAAACTTATCAGTCTTTGCTCGGTCTTCGCGGGTGAACTTGTCGTCAAAGCATAGGTGCTGCGTGATGTTTTGGAAGCGGTTTCGGGACATGATTCCAATGATATTTGGGTTTCCCAGGTTTGCAGACCAGCAGTCACGTAGTGATGGCATTTTGGTGAGCCCACAAAAAATAGCCATTGCTATAAATGCCATTAGTTCTGGAAGGGCCATGAACAAATCGACGTGCTCCATTTGCGCTTGTTGAATAATGTGATGTGAGATTTCATAACACTTTTAAGCAACTTTTGTTAAAGTTAAACTCATCATTTTATCAATGTGCAGAAGCCTGTACTTTTCCCTTGTTTTGTCTATCTGAAGGCCAAGCTACATGGCACCGTGGAAGCTGCTGATTGGAGGACTCCATGCCTCCGCTCTGTATAATACACTTGCATTCTGTTGTTCGTGTTGTTCGTGCTGTCTCTAGCATCGACAATAAAACATGTCTTCTGTCTGAATTAAAGACGCGATCCCAGACTATGTCATCTTCTTCAGGTGGAAGGATGCGGGCCTTGTCTGTAACATCTAGAGAACAGAAGACCTTTTTTTTACGCAAAAATGTGTTTTTTTTTCAAGCCAAAACTGAAAAGCCTCAAGAGAAACCATGCATCTGGACCAGCACACATGGACAATCTGCACAGCCCCTGATTCCACTCAGGCTGTGAGCTGCTGAGACATGGACAACACCATCGTCCTCTTTTGCATGGACATGATTTGGAACAATTGGATTTCTGAATTTGGACATCATTTGGACTGAATTGAATTGCTGAATCTGGACACTGAAGCTGAAACGTGTGATTGAAAGACACGTCACAGAAGAATTCATGGCTCAACACAACAAATGCAGCCTGAAGAAACCAACAAAGAGAAGTGGGAGAGACTGTTTTCAAAGCAATATCTGGAACCACCATCGACTGATGAAGTTTGGTATTTTACTGAAGATTATTGACAAGTTTTATGAAAGATCTGAACATGTTTTATGAGTTTTCTGAGTTTTTGAAGTATTCCGAGTTCTGAGTTTTTTGAAGTACCGAGTTTAAGTATTGAGTTATGATGTTATGTTGCTGTTTATCGATCCTGATGGTCACATGTGAATGTATGACCAGAGGGGGGAATGTGAGATTTCATAACACTTTTAAGCAATTTTTGTTAAAGTTAAACTCATCATTCTATCAATGTGCAGAAGCCTGTACTTTTCCCTTGTTTTGTCTATCTGAAGGCCAAGCTACTGTCAGGAATGAAACAGACAGAGACGGATTGTGGTGCGCCAAACTCTGGAAGTTTATTTAAGTTTCTCTCAAGTTCCACTGGTTTCCATTGTTTCCTTCTCTCAGACAGAATAAAGGCAGTACACAGTTTATATAGTCATTGTCACGTCACACATCGAAAGACATACATGTCACACAGAGAGAGTGCAAATCATAGTCAAAACATGGAGTCATCTTCAGAGTCCTTGTACAGTCCTGCACGTAGGCCATATTGCTATCTAATACTAACACGTCTTTACAGGATGGACCAAAAGTTGGCTCTTAGCCCAAAGCTCCGTTCCTCATGTCTGTCAATGCTGACGGGGGTGGATTTTTTTGGTCCACTCTAGTTTACTTGGTGTGAATTTTTGAAGTCTCTCGTTCAAATGAATGGAGCTGCGCCGGCTGACGCATGCGCAGATAATTTTTAATTTTTAATTAACTTTTTAATTTTTGATTAGGGCTGAAACAACAGGCCCCAGGACCAGCAGATGGTAAAAGTGGTATAAAAATAATAATTCACTAAACTCAGGTGGTTATTTGTGGTGCTATCCACACCTCTTTGTTTCACTGAGTTACTCTGAGTTACACCCAGTGTTGGAAATGGTTTAGTTTTTGCTTCATGAAATTTGTATCTCTGTAAATTGGTTATAATATATGATAATAATGTCAGATGGTACACATGTGAGCACATATACCAGGCATGTTCAAACTGAGGCCTGGGGCCAAATGCGACCCTCAATGTAATTTTATGTGGCCCTCTGACTAAAACGTTTTGACACCCCTGAGCTTTAGCTAGTTGCTGGAATCGGGTCCTATGGTTTGAGTACGAGAACAAGCCTACGGTATCGACCCGATACCAGTATCGATATTGGTGCATCCAAAATTGAAACTATTTTTACCTATAACTGAACAAATCCAATATTTATCCAATTTCTTTTACATTTTCATATCCTTTCAAGCCTGTGTGACCTTTTGAGCAGGGACCATCACTCATTGATCGCAATAATCCTCCAACAGTGGGAACAGGGATCAGATCTTCATAATATTTACATATTTACATAAAAGTTTGCATTTACAAACAAATGCACCAATCTCAAGGGAGTTCTGTGTTTACAACAAGATGAAGTTTGTCTTAGGGACAGAAGCATTGCAAGAGACCTATGGGAATAATGTAGAAGATATAAAAGGCTGTGGATCAGTGATGGGCGTTTGTCCAGAGCTGGTCCAGTCTGAGGAGCTGGATGGATCTGGATCAGACAAATGTATTTACATAAGTGCTTTTACTCATCATTATTTTCTCACTTTTGCACATGTTCAGAATCATCTGTGTCTTAACTATTGATTTATAGTTGTGTAAATGCATTTATCTAACCCTGACCTTGGTTTAAAACTAGAGCTGTGTAGAACTTGTCCTGATGAGTTGTAACAAGAGAAGTGCAGTAGTGTTTATGAAACAAAAGAATGTTCACTTCTTTACATCGTGACTGTGTTTGTTCATGTGTTTCTACTGTTTCCCAGAGACTTTTAACTCTTTGTAGAAGTCAAACATAATGTGATAGATTTTGTGGTTAAAGAATAACTTCTGTTCTTTGCACTGTGGCATTGGTGAAATATTCTGTGGTTTTAACATTGAATCCTCTGTATTAGTTTAGTTCAGTTTGTATTTGAAAAGGACAGTGCAGATTATAGCCTCACAGCTCATGGATTAAGGGGCTGAAATGAAAGAATCATATGTTTGTTAAAAGAAGGACAATGTTAAATTCCAGTCAGGTTTCCCATTTCTCTTTGGGAGCCTACTATGACTCTGGGCTTTTGCGATGGCTCTACTTTACCATCATACTGACTGCATATGTCCTTATAGTACTTTATAATGTACTTCTCATCTTTACCATATGTTTAAACAGGACTCTGCATGAACCCATGTACATACTCCTCTGCAGTTTATTTATGAATGAACTTTACGGCAGCACCGCGTTGTTCCCGATGCTTCTGTTTGAGATCAGCCGGGACGTGCACACCATCGCTGCTTCTTTCTGCTTTCTACAAATCTTCTTCATTCATTCTTACGCCTGTATTGAAATTATGATCCTCGCTGTTATTTCCTATGATAGATATCTGTCCATCTGCTTTCCTTTGCAGTATAGTGGGCGGATGAATTCAAGAAAAGTGTCATTTCTGGTCTCTTATTCCTGCTTTTACTCCTTTGTGGTAATTCTCATTCTTGTTTTCCTTACAATGCCTTTGAAATTCTGTGGAAACGTTATTGTTAAAGTTTATTGCAATAACTACTCTGTTGTCAAACTAGCTTGCTTTGACACGTCTGTTAACAACATATATGGCCTTTTCACAACTGTATGTACATTCATTGTGCCTTTGATTTTTATATTAAGTACATATGTTTGTATTCTGAAGGTTTGTTTCCGGGGATCCAAGAACACAAGACAGAAAGCTCTGAGCACTTGCACTCCTCATCTGGCTACCATCATAAACTTTTCATTTGGGGTATTTTTTGAGGTCTTAGGAAGTCGATTTAACCTGGAGTCAATGCACAGTGTGTTCAGAATATTTCTATCAACGTATTTTTTGTTAGTTCCACCACTGTTTAACCCATTAATATATGGATTTAAACTCACTAAAGTCAGAGAACTGTGTAAGAAAATGTTGTGTTCTTCTCCCAGTCACATGTGAACTAATAAAGCAAGAGACCAAAGTCAGTTCAAACTCATTTATTGTATGTTATGTGGTGATATTCGACAGTTTGCATTGGATGCACCAAAACCACTTCCCTGATATCAGTAAGAGTACGTTATCTGAAATATTTGCTGATACTATTATAATACACTTTTCAGAGCTTGTAAAATAAAGTATATTTACAGATGTCTACTACACTCACTAAATACTAATATAGTACATATACTAGGGCTGTCAAAATTATCGCGTTAACGTGCGTTAATTAAAATTTTTCATTAATTGCGTAAAAAAATGTAATGCTTTTAACGCATGTGCCAAGTAACTGGCACCCGCGCGCGTGACTGCGGGGCAATTGCTCTGAATGGGAGTCCGCAGCGTTCTGGGACAGCTGCGGCCACTTTGGACAGCGGCTTCCGCGACACCAAAATTGTAGTGGAAATTCAAATACTTCAATGAATAAATCCGAGGAAAACAGCTTGCCTTTGTGCAATTTATTTAAAAGATGATGAGAGTAACAATACAAAATAAAATCTCTGCAGAGAGACAGACAGAAGCGGTGCATGCGGGTGCCTGCACAGCTTCTCTCTCCCTGCTCACATTCCAACATTCGATAA